GTTATTTTAATCATGTATGCTTTGAACTTTTTTTTTTTTTTTTTTTTTTTTTTTGAGACGGAGTCTCACTCTGTCGTCCAGGCTGGAGTGTAATGGCACCATCTTGGCTCACTGCAACCTCTGCCTCCTGGGTTCAAGTGATCCTCCCACCTCAGCTTCCCAAGTAGCTGGGATTACAGGTGTGTGACACCATGTCCTGCTAATTTTTTTTGTATTTTTAGTAGAGATGGTGTTTCACCATGTTGGCCAGGCTGGTCTTGAACTCCTGATCTCAAGCGATCCACCCTCCTCAGCCTCCTAAAGTGCTGGAATTACAGGCGTGAACCACCATGCCTGGCCTGAACATTTTTTATTATGAAATATAACAGAAAAATACACAAAACATGACTGTATAATGTGAGGATTAATTACAAAAGGCAAATACCTATGTAACCACCAGTTAGACCTAGAAATGTATCATTGCCAACACCTGGAAGAAGCCTGCTGCGTCTCACTTCTAGATCATAACCTATACCATTGCTCAGAATAACCACTGTTCTGATGTATGATAATCATATCCCTATTTTTCTTCATGATTTTACCACCTAGGATTTATTCTAAAAAATATAATTTAATTTTTAAACTGTTTTTAAACTTTGTATAAATTGGAATAATATATTATGTGATTTTTACATTTTTATGTCTTCTTTCAGGAAGAACCTAACAATATATATGTTCATAACTTTCATCCATGTTGCTATATAGAACTGTAGTTTGATTTCATTGCCATATAGCATTCTGTTATATGAATATATCACAATTTATGTATTCATTCTGTTGATAGACACGTGGATTGTTTCTAGTTTTTGGCTGTTAATGAACAATGCTGCTGTGAACATGTACAGAAGTTTCTTTAGACCATGTACTTGCAGCAGAATTGTAGAATCTTTAGTCTTATTAGATAATAATAAACTATTTTCCAAAGTGGTGGTACCAGTTTGTTCTCCTACCAACAGTATGTTAGTCTCCCTGTTCAGCCCTTAGCAGTATTGTCAGATGCTTTAAATTTTGAGAAACCCAAAGCTTAAAAAAAAAATTGGAGAGTAAGGGACTAAAGGTATTGGTTTCTGCTTTAAGAATCATAGCTATTCATTTTCGTTTGTTAAGAGTTGGTTGATATCTTCTGCCTTAAAGGCATTCTATCTTTCTATCCTCAGAGGGTCAGGAACCTTGTCTGTCTCTTTTACCACTGTGTCGCAAAGAATGCCCTGCAGTTGGTACTCAGTAAATATTTGTTGCATGAATTCAGCCTGACTCCTGCTACTATTAACTGAACTACGTGGGATTGTTGGCACAGTCTCTGCTTACTGCAACCTCCGCCTCCCAGGTTCAAGCGATTCTCCAGTCTCAGCCTCCCAAGTAGCTGGGATTACAGGCGCCCGTCACCATGCCTGGCTAATTTTTGTATTTTTAGTAGAGACGGGGTTTTACCGTGTTGGCCAGGCTGGTCTCGAACTCCTGACCGCAAGTGAATTTATTTTATGATATCTGATTAAGACTGCCCTGTTTTAGCATCAGTCATTTAGCACAGTTTTTGGTGATGGCTATTTGATCACTGATAGTAACTGGACTTTGTTTACCAAAAGCTATTATATAGTCTAAGAGAATGTTATTTGTACCAATGTACTAGTTAAAGTTGGTGCTTATATTTTCAGAAAGAGACTTTTTTTTTTTTTGAAACGGAGTCTTGCTCTGTCGCCAGGTTGGAGTGCAGTGGTGCTATCTTGGTTCACTGCAACCTCTGTGGGGTTCAAGTGATTCTCCTGCCTCAGCCTCCCGAGTAGCTGGGACTACAGGCATGCACCATCATGTCCAGCTAATTTTTGTATTTTTAGTACAGATGGGGTTTCACCATGTTGGTCAGGCTGGTCTCAATCTCCTGACCTTGTGATCCGCCTGCCTCGGCCTCTGAAAGTGCTGGGATTACAGGCGTGAGCCACTGTGCCCAGCCGAGATTCTATTTTTAAGGAATCACTTACCCATGATTTATGCAATACTTTATTTTCTCACAAAAGAGAATATAGCAGTGGAATTTTCTGCTTATGTTAGACTCCAAGAAGCATTGCTACTTCTCTTATCCCTGTTTCTGTTTTGAGCTACTTTGTAGGATACGGTGGATTATCAGAGGTTGGTGTTGCTTGGCTATCTCTCCAGTATTCAACAGGAACCTCTTTCTCTCCCTTGTATA